ACACTCATCACCTCAATCTAAGAAATAACAATCATAACATGAATTGAAATTCTCACAAATGTCAGCAAATCTTTGGAGGGAGATTGCTGAAACTATCTGAAGGGATGTATGTCATAGGCTCTACAAAGATTGCTCACAGAAGTCCAAATCAGGCCTTAAACCACTCAGACTTTTAAATGTGATTCTCCTTGTGTTGACTAAAAGTTGCTTTACACAATAGGATTTCAGCAGTTATACTTTATATTTGAAGCCACATTACATGACACGTTTGTAATAAGCTTGGTTAAAGCATTTTTTCAATCAGTTTATCTAGACCTATTGAGGCTCTGACGTCTGCAGTTCCTCCGCTGTGTCCTTGGCGTGGTCATGATAACACACATGAGACGAAACTCCTGCTGGCACAACCAGTTTTTCTTCTCTGTAGGAATCCCAAGCATTTAGTTTTTGCAAGTTTAACCTTGATGATGGCTGACCACCGCTTTACAGCTAATACGAAACAAATCACTACAATTATTGTTATATGCGGCTTTAACACTATTATGAAATAGAAAAGTCTTCTCCTATATATTCAGGAGGTCTTATAATTAAAAAGTACTTTGCATGAACTAGTTCTTACATTTCCTCACTTTATCTTTGTTTTCTTGTCCTGCAGGAGGGAAGCCAGATGACATCACGGTGCTGCTCTCTATCGTGGCTGAATACACAGACTAAAATGTGTGTGTGCGTGCGTGTGTTTGAGTGCGCGTCTGGGGCTGTTCCTTCTTCGCCGCCTGCCTGAGTCTTCCACCTGCGGCCCTCCCGAAATGCACTGCATCCTGTGGAGCTGACAGGGGAGGCCCGCCAACACCACGGCACACACTCCTTACAGCACGGCCCGTGTTAACATTTAGTTTTCTTCCGCTGGTTTTGTTTTGGTGCTTGAGCGGCTGAGGGAAGGCAGGCAGCTAGAACATTTTGTTTTTTTCTTTCATGTTGATCGTGATGCAGGAGGAGCAGAGAGAGAGAGAGACGGGCAGGAAGATGCCTTTCATTCTTCAACGTCTCATCCTGTAGCATCAAAATCTTTTTCAATGATGTGACAGCCCAGGACAGATGGACGGCCTGTAGGCTTTAAAATCTAAAATAAAAATGTGATTAAGGAGTAAGCCATGGGTTTGGATTCTTTAGAGCGTAGTAACAGATTTAGCAGGCGAAACCTGGCTATTGGTCTCTGTTGTTAATCTGTTCCATGTGGTAAATGTGTTTGAACAAAGCATGTAGACTAGACTGAGGAAGCTGCTGCTGGGATGTTGTTTGAGTATGAAATGTACGAGTTGGGATTAAGTGTCTTTTCTCAGATCAAAACTCTGTAATGAGAAACTGTAACACTTATTAAAGCTTTCACATGAAGGTTAATCAGGTTTTGTCGCTTGGCCGAGGGAACCGCATCTCCTGATGAGTTGTAAATATTTTTGTTTTTTGAGAAACTTGTTCTGGCCTTTCTGTTGTCTTTGAATTGGTTGTTAAAGCGAAGAGCTGTTTCGTTACTTTATGGAAGATCTACACATGCTCTCGTATACTTTCTTGTACAGATACTAATCTCCAGGTGATTTTCATCAACACCACACTTCCGTTTGAAAGTTGAAAGTCGCTTCCTGAGATTGATCTCTGAAGCAGTCGTGTTGCCGAAAGGCCGCTAAAACATATGACTGGTTTGTGTGACATATTTGAGAAGCTGTTGTATGTAATGTTTATATTTGTTATAAAGCTCAAGTTAGCATCTGGGAATGCTTACAATTGCAGTGATAGGTCAGGAACAAATTCAAAGGAGAAAGATGTATTTTTTAAACCTTATTTTGTTTTAAAAGCTACAGACTGAAGCATATGCAGATGGGACAAACGTCCCGTGGATGACTAAAAGATCCAGGTATCTTAAAAAAAAGAAGAAGAAATGTGCATTGTGTGAGTCTGCTTCAAATGTTTTGTTTCTCTGTCCCTCATTTTCCTGTTTCATTTGTTTGCTGCTGCTTTTGTTAGTCACGTATGACTTGATTTGCATAAACGCTGTGACCGTGATTGCGACGAGTGCGTAAACGTGCGCTCTGGATTTCACCAAACTACACGAATCAAAGACACTGATGATACCGTTCTGCTTATGAGGGTCTAACACTTCACCTAAGTGTTGTGGATAAACTCTTTACAATTTAAAAGCATGTGCACCAAAGACACATTTTCTTTGTGTATCTCATTATGCTCTTTTTTTTTTTCGACACAAACATCATACAGCAATACTCTAATTTTCTTGTTCTATGTGTGTGTGATGGCCAGAGGTCTGTGTGGAAATGTTCAGAATTACATTAAAGTGTATTTTCTATTCCTAAAGTTGTATCATATTCCTGGTTTTAAGTTATATGTAACTGGTTATCTGTAAGTAACTATAAAGACAGGTTTTTAAAAGAAAAACCAAAGAAGGGAAGCCATAGTTCACAATTAGGGCACTGCTCTGGAAGCACCACTGTAATGGTAACAGTCACTGTGGTGCTTATCTAACAATCACGGTAGAAGTTGTACTGTTGCTGCCATACTTGAATCCACTGATCCACCATGCATTTTATTACTAGAGAGCAGTTCATATGTGCAATTTGGCAGCAGTTTGTGCTACAATGATTGCATTTCACATCAAATTGGGCAGGTTTTTCTTCCTCATAAACATAATGGGGGTAATGATTTGCATATCTGTCCTGCTGTCATCGTTGTTTTTGTTTTTTATGTAGTTTCTATTTTAGTTACACCCCCCCCCCAAATGTAATTTCTCACTGTTTTAGGCTCTTCTTGTCTTTGAGGGGTTTGTGTAAGAAAAAAAAAGGGGGGGGAAATGTCTGTTTCTCAAATATAGACCTATATTTGACAGAGAGACGTAAACCTTATGCAGGAGGGGGTGTGAACTTGCAGTATGAGGGTGAGCACAGTTTCAGCCTTAACCAATAGCTTGACCTGTAATCAAGAGGCCTTTCCTGTCATTGCAAGCTTGTGTCGTCCCTGCCGTGTTGCCCGGTGTTTGATGTAAATGAAATGTGGACATGTCTTTTTCTCTTATAAAGCCGTTCTCAAAGGTGCTTCTGCAGTCTGTATGGTATGATTGTCCTGTTCCCAGCAAGCGTATGAAAGATAAACTTATGTCTACAGTGAAACAATGCAGGTCTAATTTATGTAAATATGTTTTAAAATATGTACAATATTTAAATAAAGAACCTAGTATTTATACTAAACTTGTTTAGGTGTCTTCTTTATGCATATCATGTTTGAAGTAGTAACTTAACTCAAGGGATGAACAGGATAAGTCAATTACAATAACCTACCTATGTCCCCAAGAGGGACAAAAACAGAATTTCCCAGAGGAACCCACCTGAGGGATAAATAAAGTTTCATCTAATCTAATATAACTTAACCTGAAACCCAAATACCTGATCGGCCAGTCACGTGGCAGCAAGTTAATGGAAGTAGACATGGTCAAGACGTTCATACTGAGCACCAGAATGGGAAGGAGATTTGATTTACTTTAAATGTAGCATAAATACACATAAAATACAGTTCTGCAAAAAAAAAAGATACTGCATGTCAACAAGTGTATTATGTATGAGAACACATATGAATGTATAACACATTGTGCAGGGGGGTATTTTAGTGACACACTTTGGGCTCCTTAGTACCAACTGAGCGTCATTTGAATGCCACAGCTTATCTGTTTGTGACTTATAGGTGTCCTTTGTGTGTTTTTCTAGCCAGGTATGATTTTACTGCATTGGTGGTGTGATTGATCCACTATGGTACAGCCTGGTGGATAAAAATCTGATGGTTATTAATTCCATCGATTCTGACTGACTGAAATTCAGTCCCAAACCTATAGACAGTCACCTCCCACATACACACTGACAGTGACCTGTTGCTACAGATTCAGTCCAGTTCTTGTGTAATATGGCATACCTTCCCCTTTCTCTGTTTCTCTTCTTAAGAATTGGCTTCTTGACAGTCATCCTTCCACTGAGACCATTTCCGAAGAGGCTTCAGTGAACAGCAGATGGCTCAACTAAGGGCTCAGATGCATTTCTCAGGTCCTATGTCAGGTCTTTGCTGGATTTCTTTCCTGTTTTTTAAGGATATTAATTTCATCTTTCATCTTCATCTTTTACTATTCATCTGCTGTAGATAGTTTTTAGGCCTGACGCATCTTTGTTTTTGCCCCTATTGTTTAAGAACACTTTAAGCACCATGCCATGTTTTCAACTAATATCGCTTCAGGAATCACCTTGTCGATCCCAAAATACTGTTTTATGCCTGTCACACTGTGTTATTTCTTTCATTTTTCATAAATTCATCTCTAGAAATTGGAACAAATTACATTTTCCTAATAACAAAGTAGATAAGTATACAATTTAAAAAAATTTTTATATTGTCTTATCCTGTTCATCCCTTGAGTTAAATTCCTTTCTATGTGCAAACATAAAATACACACCTAACTCTTTTATTCTTGAAATATTCATAGGTTACAGTAAAGTGGTTTGACAAACAAACAAACGTTTTCACTCTGGAATTGAATCAAAAAGGAGCCGCTATCTTTGGAAGACTTTCAGAAAGCCCAGAGAACTATTGCTCAAGTCTGACTCCTTTGAAGCTAAATATAAAGAAATGAGGGATGACTCATGACTTTTGCAGAAGTGAATGATTAAAGATGTGAATGCAGGGCGTTTTTGCATGTCGGCTATTTTACTCCGTATTCTGCATCAACTAAGATTTTGCTGCTTCAGTGCAATGCAGTTATTACAATACAAGTTCTGTCTGAACTATTTGAAAGACAATGTCACCTCACTTGTAATTAAGATCAGATATAACGATTTAATGGAGCACTCTTATGCTGGTTGCAGAAAAATAACTTCCTGTGGTAAATTGTCAGTGAAGTGAAATTGCTAACCGTACCTGCATGTGTGATTTCCAGCATTAGGTGGCAACAGGGAGTCACAAGATTCCATGGATGTTTTGTTTACTACGCTCTTCGGGGCAAGACAGCTTTTCTCTTCCTTGTAGCCAGCAGCTAACTCACATTCCTGCTGACAGCACAGAAACTAGGTGTGTGTCAGCTGACAGTTGTGTGATGCTAGCACAGTAACTTTGGGCGATTAGCAAACAGATACTTTGCTGCTAATTAAGCGGTCATCGAGGTGCGATTTAGAGTGTGAGTGGAGCGTTAATTATGTGGAGGAGAGGGGGATGTACATAAAAAAAAAAAAACTCAAGTGGCTGTTGTAGCGTTAGCGAGCTAGCAGCTATCTCAGTAGCAACCGTAGCTAGCAGGCGGCTCCCATGGACGGCATTAAAGTGGCAGCTTTTCTTCTGAAGACCCTGTAGGCGGCTTACGCTAAGATAAATGTTGGCTCAATGGCCAGAACGGAGCTGAGCAATGGACTTAATTTGCGAGACAACCCAGAGAAGCTGACAGAAAATGGAACGGGCTCCTCGCACGGATTAGACCCAGAGGTAAACGGCAATGTCGTCCCCGGAGAGACCCAGGTGGACAAGTACGGATTCACAGGAGGAGCCCAGCAATACGCTGGAGACTCGTAAGTGTCGTTTAACATAACTGATATTTTATTTAGCCCTCGAAATCAATGGAGTAATTCATAAAGGTTTCCTTGTCCCTTTTCTTCTTTGACTGAGATGGATAAACGCGAATAAAACTCAGTCTTCTCTGCGGCTCAGATGGCTTCTTTCCCCCACTGACGCTGTAATATTTATCAATAATGAGTTTGTTTATAGTCAAAAGAAGAAAAGTTAAGGTTGGATGGCTTCAAACTGTACACGGTAAACACATTGCTTTACAGTTTAACCCAACCCCACCTGGTTTAATGGTTCACTGCTTTTTATTGTTACTGTTGTTTGCCTCAAAGTGAACCAGAGTGCGCTGATGATCCCTTGACCTTATGACTTGTGCATCAGGGTGAAAGTTTTTTAGTAAAAAAAGTGTATTTAATTATTCGTTGCAAAAGGATATTATACCATTGTAATCTTTTGAGATGCACCGTGATAAGACTGGATTTGGTTTCAGTGCATTGTTACATGCTCTTCAGCATCAGCACAGCTGCTGTATCATCTCTATTTCACACCACGGCGTAGAAACAGCAGAAATAAAGCCCGTATGTGCAATAGTGTACACTGCCCTGAGTTTGACGTCACTGTTTTGTAATGCATCACTGTCAGGAAAAAAATGGCCGCATTGTTAAAAAGGAGGGTTACGATTCAGTGGATTGGTCAGTTTGTTTCTGATGGAACTGGCTCTCCATTCATCCATCACATCCATCCATCCATCTTCATCCGCTTTGTCCGGGGCCGGGTCACGGGGGCAGCAGCCTAAGCAAAGAGGCCCAGACCTCCCTCTCCCCAGCCACCTCCTCCAGCTTATCCGGGGGAATACCAATGCGTTCCCAGGCCAGCCGAGAGATATAATCTCTCCAGCGTGTCCTGGGTCTGCCCCGGGGCCTCCTCCCGGTGGGACATGCCTGGAACACCTCACCCAGGAGGCGCCCAGGGGGCATCCTTGTCAGATGCCCGAACCACCTCAGCTGGCTCCTTTCGATGTGGAGCAGCAGCTGCTCTACTCTGAGCCCCTCCCGGATGGCCGAACTTCTCACCCTATCTCTAAGGGAGAGGCCAGCCACCCTTCGGAGGAAGCTCATTTCTGCCGCTTGTATCCGCGATCTCGGTCTTTCGGTCGCTACCCACAGCTCGTGGCCATAGGTGAGGGTAGGGACGTAGATCGACCGGTAAATTGAGAGCTTTGCTTTTACACTCAGCTCCCTCTTCACCACGACGGACCGGTGCAGCATCCGCATTATTGCAGCTGCAGCCCCAATCCGTCTATCGATCTCCGGCTCCCTTCTCCCATCACTCGCGAACAAGACCCCGAGATACTTGAACTCCTCCACTTGGGGCAGGAACTCATCCCCGACCGGGAGTGGGCACTCCACCCTTTTCCGGCTGAGAACCATGGCCTCAGATTTGGAGGTGCTGATCCTCATTCCCGCTGCTTCACACTCGGCTGCGAACCATTCCAGTGCGAGCTGGAGGCCCTCACCCGATGAAGCCAACAGAACCACATCATCTGCAAAAATCAGAGATGAGATTCTGAGGCCACCAAAGCGAAAGCCCTCCGCCACTTGGCTGCGCCTAGAAATCCTGTCCATAAAAATTATGAACAGAACCGGAGACAAAGGGCAGCCCTGGCGGAGCCCATCACCCACCGGGAACGAGTCCGACTTATTGCCGGCAATGCGAACCAAGCTCTTGCAACGGTTGTATAGGGATCGAATGGCCCGTAGCAATGGGCCAGACACCCCATATTCCCGCAACACCTCCCACAGGACACCCCGAGGGACATGGTCGAATGCCTTCTCCAAGTCCACAAAACACATGTAGACTGGTTGGGCAAACTCCCATGCACCCTCAAGTATCCTGGAGAGGATAAAGAGCTGGTCCAGTGTTCCGCGACCAGGATGAAAACCGCATTGTTCCTCCTGTATCCGAGGTTCGACTAACGGACGAACTCTCCTTTCCAGCACCCTGGCATAGACTTTCCCAGGGAGGCTGAGGAGTGTGATCCCCCTGTAGTTGGAACACACCCTCCGGTCCCCTTTCTTAAAGATGGGGACCACCACCCCGGTCTGCCAGTCCACAGGTACTGCCCCTGATCTCCACGCAACATTGCAGAGGCGTGTCAACCAGGACAGCCCTACAACGTCCAGAGCCTTCAGGAACTCGGGGCGGACCTCATCAACACCAGGGGCTCTGCCACCAAGGAGTTGTTTAACTGCCTCAGTGACCTTGCCCCCGGAAATTGGCGGGTCATTCCCCTCATCCCCAGACTCTGCTTCCTCCTCGGAAGACGTGTCAGTGGGATTAAGGAGGTCCTCGAAGTATTCCTTCCACCACCTGACAATTTTCTCAGTCGACGTCAGCAGCGCTCCACCAGCACTATACACAGTGCAGGTAGAGCACCGCTTTCCCCTCCTGAGACGTCTGACGGTTTGCCAGAATCTCTTCGAGGCAGTCCGAAAGTCTTTTTCCATGGCCTCTCCGAACTCATCCCACACCCGAGTTTTTGCTTCAGCCACTGCCCGAGCCGCATTCCGCTTGGCCTGTCGATACCTGTCGGCTGCCTCCGAAGTCCCACAGGCTAACCAAGCCCGATAGGACTCCTTCTTCAGCCTAGTGGCTCCCTTCACCTCTGGTGTCCACCATTTGGTTTGGGGATTACCACCACGGCAGGCACCAACCACCTTGCGGCCGCAGCTCAATGCAGCAGCTTCGGCAATGGAGACGCTGAACATGGTCCATTCGGACTCAATGTCCCCAGTCTCCCTCGGAATGCTGTTGAAGCTCTGCCGGAGGTGTGCGTTGAAGATCTCGCGGACTGGGGCCTCTGCTCTCCATTAGGGCTGCCACAAACGATTATTTTGATAGTCGACTAGTCACCGATTATTTTTGCGATTAGTCGACTAATCAGATCATCATCCATTGGACGTAAAACTACAGCTTATTGCACCAGCAGCATCTGCTCTTATATAACTATCATTAGCTTACAGCTTTAAGTGTTTAAGGTCTGTGCTAACTAAAAATAAAGACAAGATGATAGTTTATTAAATTTTAATGAAATTTGCAGATTGTTTCGGTGAAGTTTAATAAACTCCTTGCTATCTAAAATATAACAGGACACTGGAGTATATTCTGGAGCATCTCACACTTCTGATAATCAGTTGTCTGCTTGACGTTTATTCAGCTGTGTAAAAACTATAACTTTAATCTCAGACAAACTGATTTACTCAGGAACAAATAAAATACTAAAAAAAAAGCCAAACAATAACATTTTAAGTTATCTAAGTGACTCATATATATTTAACCTGAGTAGCGAAAGACGGCGGTGGCTTTGAAAACGATTTGCGGGGAGTCCGGTGTTCTCACAGCGCTAGTGACCTAGCCCCCGGCTCGCTAACGAGCTAGTGGGTAACAGACGTCTCCGAAAACGTCGGAGCGCTTTTGAAAATATGTGGTGTCCTGATAAACTGAGCAGATATTTGAGGTTTACACAGCTACATTCTCGCCTGAAAATATGTTAAACGTTTATTTTGTGACCCAGAAAGAATAATAAGAGTAACATTAAAACTAACTAGCTGCCGCCATTGTTGGAAACTGCGCTGGGCCGCGCTATGAATTCTGGGACAGAGCTGCTTCTTCTTCGGGGTTTAACGGTAGCTGACATCCTTGTACATGCAATGCTGCCATCTTCTGTTTCAGTCCGTTATTACACTCTTAAATCCTGCTATTATTCCTGCGTCTTTTGTGATCTTACAAAGCTTCAAATGACGCGTCGACTATTAAATCAGTCGTCGACGATTTTGATAGTCGACGTAATCGTGACTAGTCGACAAATCGTGGCAGCCCTACTCTCCATTCATCCCAAGCTATTTGTGTTAGTCTGTATTCTGTGTTCCTACTTTTCTTGCTCAACAGCTCTCTGGCACCAAAATGAGAGAGACCGGATTCCTTCTTTGTTGTATTTTTCTCACTGGCATTAATATTCAGTAACTTGGCACTGTCACTTCACAGGAAGACATTTCTTGGTTCAAAGTTTCCATGTTCTGTCTGCAGCTGGGTGGGTTCACTCTACTCTGGCTTCCTCCCAGAGTCAAGACATGCCTGTTAGGTTAATTGGCCATAGGTGTATCACACATTTCATCCCATTATGGCTCTGGGAAATGACCCTGAATTAGATAAGGGTCATTTCATGTGAACGGACCAAGTTCCTTCAGCCTAACCACCTTTCCATGGGGGAGCAGCGGGATCTTGGGTAATGATATCTATACTTCTTAGTAGAAGAACTCCCAGATTACTGTTGTTTTTCAATAAGTAAACTAACATATTGTGATGAAGATGGGTTTCTGTGGAGCCATTTTTAAACGGGTATACCTAGGGAGCTGCTTAAATTATGTCAATCACATTTTTTAGGCCAAATATCTGCTACTATGATTTAATGAATGTGGAATTTCAAAAATGTAGCTGAAGTTCAACATCAAATTCTTGCATTTGCTTGAAAATCTGATAGTACAGCCTGCACTAGTGTTTTAGAAACCCTGTAGACAGAACAGTTTTAAAGAGGGGGTTGAAATTTGTTACACAGATTCCCATATATGAGGTGTGCTCTATACCATCAATTTACCCAAATGACATGAATGGTATTAAAAATATTAAGGCTTGAAAATGGGGAAACAAATGTATTCTAGTGAACAATATTTGAGATATTCCAAAAGAAATGACATCAGACAGGAATTTCAATTGTGAATTGTTTGGTAATAACAAGTGGGAGTGGGAGAAAAGTTTCTTCCACTGCTAAATTTGCTCTCTATACCTTCACCATCCATCCCTGTGGAGCCAAAGGAGCCACATTTCCATCATCCACAGTTCAAAATCATTATATTTCTCTTATACTGGGACTTGGTGCAGCCCCTCAATTCAACCTCAAAAGAAGTCATGGTAGCTCCTCTCTTTTTAAGGACGCACAGTTCTTTTAAGACAAGTTTCTTCTGATTGGTTGACCCTTGTAAACAGAAGGTAGGAATAGGAGGTAGCTTTTTTGTTTTTTTCCCTTTGTCACACTCACCTTTGTGTGGTCATCATACAGACCTAAGAGTAAAAAAAGGGTCTGAAAAAGTGTGTTTGGTGCAATATAAATCCTGACATTTTGGATCACAAGGATTGCTTGCACATATGCTGACCTTGTTAGCTGACATACAAATATCTACCTTTGTTACTGTACATGTTTGTGTATAATGCTGTAAGTCCCCTTTAATAAAGCCCTCCTCAAAAGCTAGCTTTCACTTCTGGGTCTGCACACCATCCTGGTTTGTCTATCTTCCTTGCTCTTAAAGCTAGTCTTGGACTTTGCCTTGAACATAGGCAAAGTTTGGCAGAAAGTTTGTTTGTTTGCTTTAATTAATTCATTTAATTTAATTTTCCTTATAAACCAAGTAATATGACTCATTTTTCAAATAAATGAAGAAAAACAGATTCAGCCAAGCAGGCTGACCTGTCAACAACAAAATGTTTAGTGTTTTTTACTGTTTTGAAGACACAATGCAGTCTGTCCTTATCTTGTTCTTTGGGGTTATTAGATAACATTGGTGTAAGTGGCATTGTTTGAGCTTGCTTTAATAACGGCACTGCAGTAAGTTGTAAAGTTAATCATATAAATAAATAGACCAGGTTTCTTTGGTTGTTTTTGTGTGTGTCAAATGTGACAGCTCAGGTCTTCAGCAGCTCTGCAGTGAGGTGAGAGATTAGTAAATGTTTTGAGTAGGAGGGTGTAGTAAGCTGAACAAAGGGAAAGTTCTCCCACAGCTTCCTGTTTTCCATCCACTTCTTTGCTGATTGCCAGTGTTTAACTGCTTAGCCTGAGGTTAGGTTTCCTACACGTACAAGGAAGAGATTCCTGCCCTCTATGATGACAGGATTACTGGACATGGCACAGAAGAGTGAAACCATTGTCAGTCAGGGCTGAGAATAATTTGTTTGCCTCTATCAGTTTAATTGTTTCCTCCTCCACAGTGCTGAAGAGGTCCCAACTGAGGTGTTGAGACAGCGGGAGGCAAAATGGTTGGAGATGCTCAACAGCTGGGACAAGTGGATGGCCAAAAGACACAAGAAGGTCCGCTTTATAAGCTGTAAATGACATCAGATGTATTAATTATGTCCAGTTGTTATATACAGCTTCTTCTTGAACTGTCCATGTGTTGTATAACAGGTGAAAGAGCGCTGTCAGAAGGGGATCCCTCCATCCCTGAGAGGCCGAGCTTGGCTCTACCTTTCTGGAGGCAAAGTGAAAAGGGAGCTAAACCAGGGCAAGTTCCAGGTCAGTCATAGGAAGTTGTTTAAAAAGTGGACTTTTTTTTTTTTAATTCTCAAATAAATAAAACATAATATGACAATATTAGATGACGTATTACAAAAAGACAATTACACATTAAACATAGGAAGAGACAAACAGAAATATTACAAAAAGAAGGTGATGAGATGTGTCGCACGTACCAATCATGGTAGGCAGTCTTAGCATGTGTTCAGAGTATATGCTAGGTATGATGAGAAGAACATAAGCTCTGTAACATAAGAATGGAGATGGGTTTTTCCACTTTGGATCAATTTTTCTTTAAATTCACCCTGAATTGTTTTCCTAGAGTAATTATATAGTTATCTATTTGGGGAAAAAAGTGCACTCTTTTCAGGCCTGGGACAAGATATATGATGCAAAATCATTTGTAAAATAAGTTAGGGAGTCTGTCTTCCTGTATTTGACAGAAAAAGTTTCAGCTGTACATTTTTTACCATATTTGTGACAATTTTAGATGTGAAACTGTCGTTAATGATCGACTAAATAAATCCTTAAAGCAAGAATGCAGTTAAAGGAAGAGTTTTAGTTTTAGCTCTGGCTAAAATATCTTTGGGTGGAACTGTGCAGGAAGAGTCCTGATACGTACACATCACTGACAGCATGCCAGGATATTGTCTATTGTTTCAGTTTTAACAATAGTACGCCAGTAAACATCCAAACACGGTACACACTTAAAGTTTTAGTTACAATATTTTTATCTGTGCTGTTGCACTTTGCATCGAAAAGCATTGTTAAGATCAGCAACCAAAACTACACTGCTATAGTTTAGCAAAGACTAAATTGCAAACAGATGTTGCTATTTGGAATAGAAGGCTTGTAGCTATACTTAGAATGTTTTACAAAACAACATAATGTTAAAAATGCCAACCAAATTGTGTTATTTAGAAACTGGACGAGGAGCAAGGAGATCCCAAATGGGTTGATATCATTGAGCGGGACCTTCATCGACAGTTCCCTTTCCATGAAATGTTTGCAGCGAGAGGAGGTCACGGGTATGCGTTTCCATTCCTCGCTTCCAGAATCCTTTTATGTGTCCCACTTTTCGCCTAATGAGGCCAAACGTTGTTTCTAAACCAGCTGTTTTGATGTATAGGCAGCAGGACCTGTTTCGTGTGCTGAAGGCTTACACTCTGTATCGGCCTGATGAGGGTTACTGCCAGGCTCAGGCTCCCGTCGCTGCTGTACTTCTGATGCATATGCCAGCTGAGGTGAATATTTAATACTTTTTCTAATCTAAAATACTGGATGCCATCTGTTCTAATCGAAAATGTTAATTTCTAAGTTTGTTTTTCAAATGTATATTTTTCTATCAACGGCATCATCGTTTTACTTTATGTAAAAAGTACTTTTTTTATTACTTTAATTTGTGATTCCTCTAATTCTCTCTCCCTCTTTCTTTGGTCCTAGGATGCTTTCTGGGTTCTTGTTCAGATTTGTGAAAAATACCTTCCTGGATACTACAGTGCAGGGCTGGTATGTTGCTGTCAGTGTCATTGTTCCGCCTGTTATTCATCTACCTGTAATCTGTACACTCACCAGCCACTAAATATCTAATCACACGCTGTTCCTGTCACCTAAGAACAGGAAATTTCTTAGGTGGATATTTTCTTGGCATAATTTGTCCCTTAGACAAACTGGGCATGTTTAAATGCCACAGCATGTCAGAACATTGTTGCTGACCTTGTCTATGTCTGTGTACCCATGTTTGGTGGCCGCTTCCAGCAGAAGAAAGTGCCATGTCATAAAGCCCATGTCATCTTACACTGGGGTTTTTGTGTTATTTGAGTTCACTGTACTCAAATAGCTTCCACACTCAGCAGATCACAATCTAATAAGCACCCTTGGAATGTGGCTGTACTGGAGGTTCACATCATGGATGTGAAGCCGACAAACCTGTAGAAACTGTGCAGTGGTGTCATTTTAATATACACCAAAATCTCTGAAGAATGTTTCCACCACCTTTTTGATTTTGTGATGAAAAGATTTAATATGGGCTGAGACGAAAGGGGGCTAACCTGGTAATAACAAGGTGTCAGTGAAAGTTGTAACAAGTTAATACTAAATAAAGTGGTTGGTGAGTGTATATCTATGTACACAAAATGAACATGTGTTTTGTACCAACAAGTAAATAAATGAGTCATTTAAGGACTCCAAACACACCCCATAATGGGCAAAAATCATTTTGTTTTACAGTTTTGATATTTATGGATATTTTTCCCAGGAATTAAGGTGACTTTTACCCGTAGAAAAACAAATTCAGCTTCAAGATTTGAAGTCATTCAAAGTTTAGTTTGATATTTACAGCTTGTCTGTTGGCCTAATTTTCTAAAGCCAGAACTTCGCTTTTTCAGCTCGATGGTACGTGTGGCTGCTCTAGTGTTACAGCTCTTTAGGCCGTTGTCTCTGTCACTCATGCTGATATGCTAACAGCCTAATTACCTGAGGTGGTGACCAGGCTAGAAGGATAAGATAATCAGACAATCAGATTAAGCAAAGACAAAGCAGTCTGTTCTTTCTCTGCTGACTGTTTTTGCATGTTGTCTCCACAGGAGGCGATCCAGCTCGACGGGGAGATTCTGTACGCTCTGCTGCAGCAGGTTTCCTCTGTGGCCTACCGTCACTTAAAGAAGCAGAAGCTGGAGCCCACCCTGTGCATGACCGAGTGGTTCATGTGCATCTTCTCTCGCACTCTGCCGTGGGCCTCGGTGCTGCGCGTCTGGGACATGTTCCTGTGTGAAGGTGAAGTGCCCCACACTGATAGATTTTCTTCTTTTTTATAATTGCATTGCATTGAATTGCTACTCTTACAGAGATGATGGGATAGATACGATAGTGTATTCAAATGCTATTAAACAGAAGTGTTTTACTTTAAGCTCACAGATGGAAGATTTGTTTGATGTGGCTTGTGGTTGATTTTTGTTTGACTGAGTGGAGAGTTCACAGTGCAGTAGTGGAAAATGCCACACTTGAGTTTGGGGGCACACCTAAGAAGAACTTCCTGTCTTTGCATTGAGTTAGTTGGTGCAGACAAATAAGAGAAGTGTTGAGATAGACAGGATGAAGTATTAGTGGCCTGGCTGAAAGTTGTGTGCTTTTTGGTTTTTCATTTAAACGTATCCCTCCGTTGCTTAAGTTATCAGTCTCTAGACAGCAATTAAATGAATACAAAATGGTAGCATTTAACGGTCCGCCAATACCCATCATGTGACCATCATCCTCCTCTTTGATTTTACTTTAATGTCAGGAATCAGTAACAGTTTAAGGTAGATAACTGTAACAAAACCAAGTAGAAAGTACAAAACCTGAAGAGCTGGGTCTGATGGTTCCAGAGAGGGAGGCGGTTTTTCAGCCATTGAAAGGTCGGTGGTTCGATTCAGGCTTCTTCCAGTCTGCACATCAGTGCTCTTGGGCAAGATGCTGAACCCCCAAACCTTCCTTTATTTTTGTGCGTGAATCTAAGTGGGTTGATAAAACTAGAAAAGCACTATATAAATACATTTACCATTTACATGCACAGGACACTTTGCTAGGAACTCTTTTTTTAATGACTGGCTGTCTTAAATTGTTGTTGCACAAAGTCAACAGGGTGCTGATAACATGATAGCATCACAGACTCATGCACATCCATGATGGCAACCTCCCGTTCTACAACATACCTAAGGTGCTCTTGAGCTCTGGTGACTGTGTTTTGAGCACAGTGAACTCATTGTCATGTCATCTCATGATTGAGATGATTCTAGCTTTGTGACGTTGTGGTTATAAAGGGTTGGTCAGTAATAATACTCAGGTAGAGAGTGGTATTTAAATGATGGTCAGTTGGCACAAAGGGGCACTCTGCTTTGTTGTGCCAAACACAACTTGTTTTCCAAGAGGAGCACTATGGACTCTGTAGGCTCCTCTTGTTAATCTTTTTATTTTGTTGTTTATCTTATTTATATTATTATCACCTGAAAGACAAAACAAAGGGAGGTACACAAAAATTTTTTTTTGCTGTGTGTGAGGGAGAGAAAGAGAGTGAGAATCTGCAGCAGAAGTCAAGACTAACCAGATTAAGCAACATTTTTCAAATCTTTAGATGTCTACTTGTTGTGAAGCCTTATAAATTGTAGCCTCAGTTTCCTGTTCTTAGCTGACAGGAGCGGCTCCTGCTGTGGTTTTCTGCCACTCTGCTTTAAGGTTTATTGTGTTGTGCATTCAGAGATGCTTTTCTGCATACCTTGCATACCTGACCATTTTCTGTCAACCTTTGAGATGATTGTTCAGAAAAATCGCACCCATTTGTGAAATACTCACATCAGCCCATCTGCCACATTCAAAGTCACTGAAGTCACCTTTTCTTCTGAGTTTAACTTAAAGCATGTCATCTTAGCCATGTCTACAGGCCTAATTGCATTTATGTGCCGTGTAATTGGTTGTTTATGTGTTTGTGTTAATGAACAGTTTAACAGATGTGTCTAATGAAGTGGCTGGCAAGTGTATATGCGCTGATGGAGGGTTTCTCTGGTACTAATCGGGGTAAAACGGAGATAAAGAGTGATCAGTGAGCTGTGATCAGAATATCCAAGTAACAACCCACAGACTAAAAACATGAAGCCTCCCTGTTGTTTTATTTTGAAATAATACAAATGTGTCACCGCACTGAATCATTGTGTCACCCAACCCAACTCAAAGTACTTCTCATGGTTATTATGGAGAAATGAATTACTAATATAAAATGTGAAAGTTAGTTGATCTGGCCTCATGTTGTCTTGTGTGACGTGTATGTTCTCAGGAGTGAAGATCCTCTTCAAAGTGGGCCTGGTCCTCCTCAAATGCACGTTGGGATCCCAGCAGAAACTGAAGGACTGCCAAAGTCTCTATGAGACAATGGAGCTGCTCCGAGCAATAAATCCAGAGTACATGCAAGAAAGTTTCCTGGTGCATGAGGTACACCTACACAGACCATTAAGTCTTTGCAATCCATTTTCTTATTTTGACCCTGCAAACCCTTCTGAGACTTTAACTGCTGAGATTGTGAAAACACCAATAATGGAAATGCTTTAACTAAAAGCTCAGACATTAAATCACGTGTGGCTCACACTCCTGTATTTATGTGTGTTTCAGATTATCGAGTTAACGATATCCGAGACAAAGATTGAGAAGGAGCACAATGCTCAGCTCCGGCGCTGGAAGGAGAGTCACGGAGATCTGCACTGTAAATCCCCTCCCAGGATGCACGGGGCTAAAGCCATCATGACCTCTGAGCCACACAGCAAACAACACCTGAAACAAAGACCTGCCATCACCGTGGAGTCTCCCTTGGCACCCAAGACAGATGTGAATGAAGAAAATGCAGCCACAAGAAGTAGAAAGACTAAGGATGAAGATGAGATGAAGACAGCATTCCCTTCACAGGAGCTGATTAATCCTTACGCTCCTTCCTCTGACCCCTCACCTCTCTTCGAACATATAACCCTAAAAGGGTCCAAAGAGAGTCTGAGCAGTGTAGAGCAAGACACCTACCTGTAGCAGGAGAAGATTTATCACAGTTTACAAACAGCAGTAAGTCCATACAGGCCTAACCAAGCAGTGACATGACGACACCTTTCAGTGTGTCTGGGGCAAAAATAAAACTGAGATGTTTGTGAATTTTTACATAAGTTTGTAAAACTGAACGCCAGCTAAGCAGCTAGGCTAAGCAGCTGCTGAAGTCATTTCACTCACACAGGTTGCTATGCTTTTTAACTACATCCTACAGCCACATTTGTAAAGTGGAACTCAGAGGTGTCATTTCCAGGGACCAGCAGCAGATGACGACAATGTGTGACGCCGATAAATTAGGTTTTATTCCTGCAGGCAGGCGTTTGAACTTGGGGCTATTTTGCCCATCTCCATTGGGCTTTAACAACAAAAAAAGATGAACCTCATAATCACTCATGTAAACACATAAATGTCTAGTCCTGATTCCCCCAAGTTTAATTCAAACTCTAAAAGATAAACAATGAAGAAGAAAAAAGAATTAGTGAGTGCATGATCAAATTCGCCTGCTTTCACCTCTAATGCCACCAGTATGCTTGAGCCACTACTGGAGTTCTGTGAGTGTAATCACAATGCAACGTTAAAGTACTAAATAATTAGAAATAGCCCACTGGAGAATAGTCACATGTGGCAAAAGATTTTAATGACACCCGTCGGTAATGTTGACAGGGTCACTAATGCTTATTACGCTGTGCGCCTTCTTGAAAAGAGAAGAACGTATTCTTTATATATAAAGTATATGTTCTCTTATTTATCACAGAGTTGGGAAGTTCCATAAGTAGAAAATTATAAAGCTCAAATAGGTTTTGTTGCTCCATACATTTGCATACAGAATTGCTTCAGAGCAGCTCTCTTGATGGTAAAGGCTGCTGATCTCTCCCTTTGGAGAAAAAAAGCTTGTAGCTAACTGTTAACACCTCCTGCTAGTTACCTCTTAAAAGCAGCACTCTGATTATCTCCCATCTTTTAAAACATTGAGTCTTAATTATTGAGTTTTTTGCCAGGAGCTCTTTGCTTTTTTCCCCAGACTTCCTTTTTGCCTACAGTCACTACGTTGCCATCGGATAGATTTGTATCGTTAGTCTCAGTTATTCGCACTAAATCGCAGACGCACAGTTTTTACGCGTGCACTCTGCAGAGTCTGTAGTGCTGCCTCAGTGAGTCAGTCTCTGCTGTCACTGAACACTAGAGGGCGTCCTGAGATTATCTCTCAGCCTCCGTCAGTGAGCAGCAGCCTTTGTCTTACAGGGGAAAAAGGAGAGGAAAAAACCGACGCAAGCTGTTTGACACTCAAATGAAGGACGATAGTTCAGGGACATTTTGTGCCACTAAGCCAAAGATTTGTAAAGTTTATTTTTTAAGATGTATTCGTGGAAGTAATTCAGTTGTGTCTGACAGTATTGTCAGTTTGGGAGTGCGTGGAGTTTTTATTTATGTTGTAAATGAAACAGTATAAGCTGTTTTTGTACAATTACACTTTAAAGGTTTCATCTGCTTTAAATTTGTATAATTATTACAATAAAAGAAAAGGAGCGCACTAGAGGGTTGTTCTCTGCGGCTAAAGCCGATGGAGCTGTAAACCTTTGACGGTGACGTGTAAATACTTGTATAAAACAGAGATGCTGCAAGTGAAGAAAAATTCGAAATGAACTGGAAAAACAGGCAACGTTTAACATTACCAGCAAAAGATGTGGCTTTATTTGGAGTTACCACCATACCTTTGGAGATTATTTTCAGTCGATGATTTCTATAATGGAAAATGGTTGTGGGTATGTGTTGACTTTTAAACACTCAAATGTTGTAAAGCATATGCTACGGGTTCATTTTAAAAAATTTGTTCTGAGGCACTGTTTACTTGTGATGCCCTGTGGAGCTTTTTAAAGTCACATTGGAGATTTTAAAACTTTGATTTTTGTGGGGTTTTTTTGTTTTTGTTTTGTTTTTTTAACCAATACTTCAACGGTTTCTGCAAAAAGCTGTCCTGAAGAGTTAATTTTGGTCCAGGGAAGGAATTTGAATAAGTTAACCGGTCGTTTTAAAGAGTAAGAACGTTTAGTTTGCTTTCCATCCACTGGAAAATGCACACTCCACTAAGTTGATAAGATGCTGCTTATTATTAATCGTTGCAACAGTTATATTTTGAAACAACAGAGCATTTATTTTGATAGGGGCATGTAGATTTCTGATATTTTGCCTCATTTGATTTAAAATGTGTATTTTTTTTCCACCAAATTCCATTTAAATCAATAAAACTTGAACAGGTATTTCCTGGGTTTTTTGTTTTATGATAACTTTCTCTTACGTCTGCATTTACTGTCAAACACAAGGGGATAAAGTGCCACACAGACGGGACCAAAGTTACGAGCAGTATTTGAATGCCTCCTGTGTTATCGTTCAACGCCCTCACACCCACCCGTCCGCCCGCCCGCCCTCACCCACGCAGCAGCACACTTCCTTGGACACCTGTTTCTCCGGCTCTTTCAGCTCTTGGAGGAATTTGCATGTCAAATAGGGCGAATTCCCACACCACCATTCAAAGTGCCTCACACAGCCATTTGCCTTTGGTCTCTGAATGGAGTCTTCTGCGTGCACACAGGCCTTCTTTTTCTTCTTCTCATTCCCTCAGTAAGATTCAGCTGCAGTCCAAGAACATGACAGCCAAGAATCTCTCCTGCTACATTTTAATTTACTAAACTGGTGAGAAGCCAAAACTGCATTAAAAAGTAAAAGATGGTTGTATGGTCTCAGTTTTTCTTATTTTCTGTCATTTGATAGTACACTTCTTGAATTAGAGGAGATACTAGGATTTAATTTGGCACGCCCAGCTTCCTCATGTCACATTCTGCACAGGAAGCCTTCACAGTGGCTTCTTTTATTTATGTGAAGGATTTTGTGCGTGTTTTTGTCAAGGGGATGCCTGTCATTAGAGCATTTTTGTGTATGTCTCTGCTAGCTGTAACAATGCAGGCTGAACTGCCTATTTCCAATCCAGCGACACCCTTCACCTCAATCTAACCCCACCCTGCCCCCCAGCCGTCCACCTGTGGACCTTCTCCCTCTGCTAGTGCTCAGTGACACTGGTTAGACCTGATCGTAGACCAGAGAGGGTGTAATGGGAGACTTTGTGTTTATGGCTAATCTGCAGAGGAGGAGATGTGACCCAGACGTGATCCCATAACCACGCTCTGTAAAGTGCAGATGAGAATTTTGAGCTTTAGCAGTGTAATCGCCTGTTGCTGGGCCTCGGTTGCATGCAAGGACATCACTATACTTTGTTTAGCTTTTAAAATGTTTCACCCCTACTCCTGAGTGCTTTAAAAGTAGAGTGACCTGAACAAGTCTTTTAATAACAGTGAAATCATCTTCAGAAAATAAGTGCTCTAAATTGGAAATGCTATTTCTCCCAGTGGTGAAGCTTTTTGCAGGCTAATAGCGGTGTGTGTGCGCACACTGAGAAGAAAAGATGATCCGGGAAAGTGAAACAATCATGTATTTTGTTACACTGGAAGCAACAACAATCACCTTCTATCCACAGTGTTCTTGCACAGTTTTCTTGGCTACTGCATTTTGCACCATGCCCCTGCTAAAGGTCCCCAGTGTATATGAAGCACAATGTCCTGGTTTAAATAGTGCCCATAATTCAGACGTGTTCAATTTAATTTCTATCACAACATTTAATTTAAGTCAACCCATGAAGATACCCAACCCAATACAGAGAGCATAGATGCTGATGAGCTGGACACCAGAAATTGTTCTGATATTTTGAAACTTAATCTCGCTAACATTTGCAACTTTATAAATACAGGGCCAGCGCTTTCTTATGCACTTTTATGTTATGTGGCTCATTTTATATGTTAAAATATGTACAAAAACCAGTATAACAACATTTCTTCAAAAGGGAGCATCCCAGAGGTGGATAAGGATGAAATCCACAATATTTACTCACAGTCATTTAACCATTTTCCTTTCAGCAGATTCACATCAACAGCATGCACATACAATATGTGTATGTAAGCAGATATCTCTCATGTGATGTCTGTTTATACACTGTAGCTGTTTATGGGGGGGTGAGCAGAGTGAGGTGGATGATCTCACGATGCCATATGTGTGAAGCGTCTGGGAGATTATAGTCTGCCTTCGTGAGCTCTAAAGCTCTTGTAAAGCTTTTTGGTAACAAGGACTGAGGGTCTGAAGCTTTATCCCCACCTGCCACCCCCCATCCCTGCCCAATGGGCAAATTAGAAGGGGTGACTTTAAAAAAACAAACAAAAATGAAATGCAGCCTTAAGTAAACTGAACATTTGTGGAACGTTCTGAAAAAAACCTGCTTTACAGTGGCTAACTATGATAGAGCAATTGCTTAAATGAAATTCCTGCAACAGAGAAAGCTTGCAGGATTTAAAACACTCAGCAGAGTCTGCTGGTGTGGCCTTCAAAGCACAACTGTTACCGTCAAGTCTTGAACTTTGAGCACCAACAGGAGTTTCTGAGAGGCCTGCTGTACTTATAAGGGGATCAGTAGCTTACTGATATGTGCAGGAACCCATCTTAAATTTCACAGAAGGTGAGTGTCCCAAAGCCAGCACCAAAGTGATAACAGAAAGTCACTCTTTGGACTAACTGTAGAAACGACATCGCATCTTGGCTTAAAAAAAAGAAAAAAAGTTAAGTGTGTTACAGCTGTCAATACCCAATGAGATAAAACAGAGTGTGATGTGTTCAAGCTGTTGGAAGGATGGTTTACCAAAGTGAAAATACCAGGATGTGGGGGGAAATATGTAGTTTCTGCAAGTCGATGATTCATAAGTCAATGGACTCGTGTGCTCTTGAAGTCAGACAAATTATTATTTGTTTAATTATTCCTGATTACATTTGGGATGAGGTTATGATATCACTACACTGAAATATGTGAGATCCCTGCAACAGTTTGCAAAGTTGCGCGCACACACACACACACACACACACACACACACACACACACACACACACACACACACACAACTGAGTATCATCAGCATAGCAATGACAATAAACACAGCCCAGCTGGTTGATAAAAATCCCTGAAGGGAACATGTGAGGACAAGATACAACAAGAGTGTATCTCTGAGAACTGTGCATAGTGGGCATTTTAGCAGGTAGGTCATCTCATCTGGACTCTTATCCAGGCAGATACTGGTTATCTGCCGCTCGATGTTCTCTCGCCTCTCCAGCTCCATGATGACTGGCACCACCCACTCCACAAGGTCCTGGTAGAATTCCTCAGCAGGGTAGTGGTATTATTATTTATCTTCATCTCTCAGGGCAAACTCTTCTGGGGCTTTCACCTCGCCGTACGTCATCTCCTCACACACGCTTGCGTCAATCTCATTAAGAGCCTTCCACTGCTCTTGTGGGTCCATTATGATTTGCTGATATGATTTTTCTGAAGTCTGCATTTGCGTGCAAAACCAAATTATTGCTGGACAGTGCCAGACAAAACAGCTGCTCTTGTAAAACTAATCCAACCCAGTACTCCTTTAGGAAGGCTGACTTTTTATGGGAGAAACATGCATTTAGGAAATTATCCATCTTAGTTGTCTGAGACCTTGTGGACATTCCAGTTGGTAACCCCTCTGTATTTGGGGGGCTTTGATGAGAAGTTTCAAGTAGCAGAGCAGCACGTGTGGGACAGGAAGAGGAGTGGAAGGTGTCAGGGGGGCAGACAGATGCTCATTGAATGGACAGTGAACAGGAAGTGTGTGTGTTCCCTTTATCACTCTCCCTCAGGATAACAGTAGTTGGGAATGTAACTCTGATGATCTCAGCTCCATCAGCTTTTTCTGACACTCTGTGATTTGTAATAGGAAATGATAGCACACACCTGTTTGGTTTAAGCCCGGGGTTCCCCCCAGTCTCTTTTATAGAAAAGTTACAACTAAGCAAGCAATCACCGAAAGAATGATTTCCTCTCTTTGTAGCCTGTACTGCAGAGCATGAAGTGCAGGATAGCAAAGCCTTGAGGTTCTAGGACCACAGATTCTCTTCATACAAAAGATCCAAGAAGATGCAAAGAAATCGCTGCCCTTTATAGACTAAATATAATTAAAATTTATTGGGTCATGTCAAGTTTTATACATTAACAGAAAAAAAGACGTCATACAGTGAAATGATAATATTCTTTGGTTACTGCAGCTCTGTGCACCAGCATTGACAGTTAATTTGCCAATTTTCCACCAGATTTCAGTATGTTTGAAGTTGGCTAGGCTCTTGGTTACACAATAAACAGCCTCTACTCCTATCAGGTTTTCTGTTTTAGTAACCTCCATGTGACCTCTGACCTGCTGAACCTCCCACTCTGTTTCAAGTTGTTTTCGTTTCATCGCAGTCACAATCTCCTGATTAGCCTTTGTGTTTCAATTTGCACGTTTTCTTTTTGGGATGTCACTCAAACACTAGCGCCGTGCAGTACTTGTATCAATCTGATACCAAGTGAATACAAGGCCAGTATTGCCAATACCTATACTGACACTTTTAGGCAGCTTATGCAGGAGAGAGCAGTGTGCCATGATTTATGACATGAATCATCATCAACTTGCAAATTCTGGACACATTTTAATGACGACTAAATCACTGTGATGTAAACTTTCTGCAATAATCAATATCTATCCCACCACACTAGTGTCTTTCCAATACCAAGGTTGGTATCGATATCATAGATATTTGGCTCTACCCACCTACCTATATCAAACACTGTATGACAATATACAGTGGGGCAAAAAAGTATTTAGTCAGCCACCAATTGTGCAAGTTCCCCCACTTAAAATGATGACAGAGGTCAGTAATTTGCACCAGAGGTACACTTCAACTGTGAGAGACAGAATGTGAAAAAAAAATCCATGAATCCACATGGTAGGATTTGTAAAGAATTTATTCGTAAATTAGGGTGGAAAATAAGTATTTGGTCACCTCAAACAAGGAAAATCTCTGGCTCTCACAGACCTGTAACGTCCTCTGTAAGAAGCTTTTCTGTCCCCCACTCGTTACCTGTATGAATGGCACCTGTTTGAACTCATCATCTGTATAAAAGACACCTGTCCACAGCCTCAGTGCATGTCCAGGCCCGTCTGAAGTTTGCCAGAGAGCACATGGATGATACAGCAGAGGATTGGGAGAATGTCATGTGGTCAGATGAAACCAAAGTAGAACTTTTTGGTATAAACTCAACTCGTCGTGTTTGGAGGAAGAAGAATACTGAGTTGCATCCCAAGAACACCATACCTACTGT